ATTTACTTTTTTTCACCACAAGTTCTACGACAAAGAAGAAAACTTGCCTGGTAAAACGTTTGTGAGCATTATGCATAAATTTTCGTACCTAGGAAAAATCATTAACAAAAAAAATCTGTATAGTGTAATGTACTATTGACTGTTTAAGTTATAGTATTAGTAAGTTAGTTTAAGTATTTTGTATTCATTTCATTTATACTTTTTAAGTTATACCACTCATATATTCGGGTTTAACTTCGATGTAACATGACAATTTGTAGTAATTTTTTTATTCTAAATATGCAACAGTACCATTTCTTAATATCATTCGACAATCAACATTAATTAAAAAGCATATAGATAGATTTTTTAATAAAAAAAAAAACTGTAATAACGAAGTAGTCTAAAAAATTTCACTAATCTCCGAATTTCATGTTGAGTCGCAATATTCATCAGTGTTGTGTTGAATGCAGCCAAAGTAAAAGCTCATTAATACTATTGTACCTGTTATGTGCCCCGATTTCTGGTATTTTACTCTATATATTATTGATGTTCTTCAATAAAGTCGTTATTACACATTTGTCACTAGTAGGACTTGGCCCCTTCCTTATGTCCATCACACATTCACCATCTGCGATTAAAAATGTTCACTTACATGTAAATGGTTTTGCTCGTAGGAGTCAAAGTCAATTATTTTTATCTTTTATTCATCTTAGAGTATGTGATTTTGTAATTATCACTTTTTGTGACGTTTTCAATTTACATTGTTGCCATTGTTATAAAATCTTGCCCCATAGTTTGTAAGTCTTCTACATTCTTATATCATTAACAAGTATATCTATCATTTCTTCCGACTTTGTTGCGTGAAAATTGTCTCTTTACATTTTTCTTTATTTATACCGCTTATCTTTTATTGTTAATACGTATTTAAAATGTTTTGTCACAGTTACTAACAGTATTTGTAGAGCTTTGGTTTTTAAATCTTAGCCTGTAACAATGAAATTGCCATCAACTGTGTACTTCAAATACGCCTTTTCCCACTTCCAAATCAGATAAATATGATTTTTACTGAGGGGTTGCGCACTCTTAAAGTCATTAAAAAAGACTTCATAAGTCATTCAAAGTCTTTCAATGACACCAGAAGTTTCAAGAAGACTTCAGTCGTTTTATCAGGATTTCAAGAGTGCCTATCGCTTGAAATCATTAAAAAAAGACTTCATAAGTCATTCAAAGTCTTTCAATGACACCAGAAGTCTCAAGAACACTTCAGTCGTTTTATCAGGATTTCAAGAGTGCCTATCGCTTGAAATCATTAAAAAAAGCCTCATAAGTCATTCAAAGTTTTTCAATGACACCAAAAGTCTCAAGAAGACTTCAGTCGTTTTATCAGGATTTCAAGAGTGCATATTGCTTGAAATCTTAAAAAAAAAACTTTATAATCTCGAAAAGACTTCAGAGAGCTTAGCTCCTCGAATTTTATCAACTGTTGGATCAGATAGAAATATTTTTTTTGCAACAAAAATACTTATTCTGGCTGATAATGCAACCCGATAAAAATGTAACGTTAAGACTCTTATTTATTTAGTTCTTACAAATTAACAATCACTGATTTTAAATACAGATCACAAGAGGTAACTTCAATTTCTTCGTGCGCCTGTCGATGTCTCGTCTTACCTTACTTATCTGCCTCTACTAGATTTTTCTCTTAGGTTGGATTTTAAGTATACTGTGGTCTGTTTTGGAAAATTTTTCATCAAAATTACAACTAAAAAGTAAAAAATGAATAAATGAAAGTTTTTTCACAACTCTTTCATTGTAGTGAACAGTATAATTAATGTAATCAATAATTTTATACGTACGCATGATTAATAAAAATGGGAGTTTATTTTGATGTATGTTGTTACAAATAAATAATTTTATGTATGAACTGTATTAAGAAAATTTTTTTTATACACTTTATGTGGCTATTTCTCATGAAAATTCATTTAAAACTTTATACACACATTTTCTATGCTTCTTTCCTTAACTTCCTTTCTTTGATGTTTTTTGCACTCGTAGGGAACTTTTTAATGATTCTTTGTATCTGCTACAAATTTTCATCGCAATCTTTGCATGGCATATTTTTTTACCAAAAGAATTTTTTCCCTATTCTTTAAGTATATGAGCTCTATGAAGACCCTTTAATTTTATCACTTTTGTTATATCCTTGTTTTCATCGCAGTAAATCCAAGTTAATTATGTCATCGCACTCAAGTAAATAATTCTGTGTAACAGTTTTTACGTACTTTTATCTATATAATTTTATGCATTTTTAGTGCGTAATGATTCATCATATAAAAATGCATAAAATCATATAGATGAAAGTATGTTATAAGTATTACACAGAATTACATACTTAAGTGGTTTAAAAAAACGTACTTAGATACACGGTGATTTTAATCTTTAATCAACGTTCATAATTTCAAATAATTTTTTAAGGCGAAGCATCTCTCCATTCGCCGTATTTTGAATCCAAATCATAAAAAAAGTAATGCAAAGGCACTACCTGAACGAGACGAAATTCTTTATTACGAGCTAGCAGAATTAGATGATGATTGCAAAAATTTTTTAGGAAATTAAACACTTTTTGTGAAAGATGTTTTTTCCAAAGGTTTACTTAAGTAGTATAAAAATAAAATAGTTTATTTCTATCACGTAAGGGGAGATTTCTTAGAAAATATATGAATGATTAATAATATTGTTCCCAAGACTAATTTTGTATATGAAATATTAATTTTCACTTTTTAAAATTTACTGTAAAATTATTAAATACATTATTTTGTAACTTTTTTTCTAGCTTTTTTTAACACTTAGCTAATTAATCGCACCCTGTTGTAATTCTCATGTTGGTAAGTTGGGCTTTTTTTACCTTTGAACGTTTTTACGTCCTCATTAGGCAATAAAACAGTATATTATTCACCAATTCGTACAGTTGAGTATCTTAGAAAGTATCCAATATATCGTTTGGTATATTCATTACATGTACACAGTCCATTTATTATATTACGATTTTACGAAAATATTGCATAGAAAATTCTGAGTTCGAGTTGATTCACTATTAATTCTAAAAAAATGTTTACACTTCCTCGTTAAATCATTGTTCATTCAATCCTTGGGGCTTTGTAATTGAATTAAATCGTATATTTGAATGAACTAGATTTAAAGTAAAAATCCTGTAATATCCTATATAATCTCTTCTATAATATTTCATAAGCTGTCATTGATTAAGAAAATTTATAATTTTCAACATAAAAAAACACTGTACTCAACAAATGATAACTCTTAGTTTTATGGTTTTAAAATACTATGCATTATTATCATATTACAGAATGAGAAAGAAAGAATCGTATTTTTTAACCCAAAGTGTACAATTTATCAAGAATCAACTCACTTTTAGGGCGAGTTGGATTAGAAAACTTGTTTTACATATCTAACGTGTATTCTACTAACATATTCAAGTTATAAGCTCTTTGTGGAAAAATTTATTTAAATTGTGAACCAATTAAATAAAATGTTAGTAATAACACTAGTAGCAATGATGAGATGAAAAAAAAAAAACTTAAACGCTATATGCATGTAAATTGTATATAATGTTAAATGTAGGGGTAAACGACCTCATTACGGCACAGGTACTAACTACTGTGCATTGGTCAGTACTGCTACGTACATTGAAAAACATAGAGAAATAAGCAATGTAGCATAACCGAAAATTTCAATGCGCAGTAATGGGTTTATTGACCCCTATGACACAGTAACAATTGATGACTATTTTTCTCAAGAAAATTTGAAATTCCTAGTTGAACTTCCCAATTCATAACTCTTCGGTTGAAGACTTTATGGAGAGAGAATCATTTTTTTCCAAGAACAATGCATTATCAATGGCTAACTCATAATTCCCAAATGTCTGAATAGATAAGGTATATCTATATAAGTAGATACTAATAGAATTTTGACCTTTGGTAAGTTAGTCATTCATAACAAAACGTATTCAGAAAATGATTCTTTTTTTTATCAAGTCGTTAACTAAAGAGATTTTACTCACCAAGTCAACATTTTTATTTACATACTAACAAATATACTGAATGGTGAATAGTTATAAAAGAACTATATAGCTATTGGCTTTTTTATAAAAATCATATAGCAATTGCTGTTAAAAAATATAAAAATCGAGCTATATTAATAATAGACACACCTTCATTGACAAATTACATCAGAGTTTTGTTTCAAATAGCCTGATTTGTAGATTTCATACTAGTTTTATTAATTATTTAATTTAAATCTTGTTTCTTTTGTGCAGATCATAGTGCATTGATCTCACCTAATGAAATGCTTATGAGCCTTTGAATTATTTATCATACAATACAATTAGCTATACCACTCGTCCTTACACACTAGATATGATCACTCATTGGCGTCACTCCAAAACACTCCAACAATTAAATTACAGTAATAGTAATAATAAAAATAACAATAATAATAATAATAATGATAATAATAATAGTATCAATTCATCGTAACAGAAGTTACAGCAGTAGTAACAGTATAGTACGAATGTATAAGCTGCAGTAATGTCAGTAGTAGTAAGAGCAGTTATTGTAGTAATGAGAGTAGTTAATGTAGATTATAGTAGTTATAGTTGTGGTTTTAGCTAAAGTTGTCGTTATATTGGTAGCTTTTTCGAAGTCATGGATGTAGTAGTGTTGAAAGCTTGTATTGTTCATGAGATGGTGATGCCATACAAAAATCGAAAGGGGAAGTATGGAAAAGGATCGTGTGCATGCTTATGTATCTTAGAAATCACAGTGTAAGAATGAGAAAGAGAGAGGGAGAGAAGCTCGAATAAGATTGAGTAAGAAACAAACGCAAGAAAAAGACGGAGCACACGAGTGGAAGAGGCAAGTCGTCTTAGTCGTCGTCGCTCTAACCACATATAAAAAGAAATGCTTGCAATAAGATGGACAGTTCAGAGGCGGTCCTCGCTTTGGTCGTAGCTTTTCGTGCGCTGCCTCAACCACGGTATACAAGCATTTAAAGCGTATAATAGTGATCTTTTGACTATATTTTTCCATAGAGCTTTTCGAAACTAATTTTGATTATTAACAATAACCAGTAACATTACAAAAAAATTGAAATAAAGTTCAACAATGAACAACACCGTCAAAGAGTATATGGAAGCTCACGATTTGCAAACTCGTGACGCCACAGATGTCATTGAAGAGTTTAGTGACGAACTTGCAAAAATGACCGGCAAGTGCATAGATATCGGCTGCGGCCCTGCCTCAGTTACGCGCAAGCTCCTCATGCCCCGAATGCCACCTAATGTTCACATCGTTGGTAAGTGGCACGTTTAATTAATTTCCAGGGTATATCCGTGAATTTTTTGTTTTGTGTGGGTTGAAAGGGTGAAGTGTCTTTTTTTTATTTGAAATGTAATCCACCAACAGGTTTGAGAATATTAAAGTTCTTGGCCTTGGAAATTACGTTAAGCTCTGTTAATGAATAAATTAATAAACACTTCAAAATAGAAGAATCTATACTGATACGATGCATTTTTATGGTGGTTGAAAAAATGAAATACATAAATTATTGTATCCAGATTGAATGGAATTGGTTGCACAATTACGTGCAATATCACTGTATTTATCATCAATTTTTTCAAGGGTATTTGAATCGGTTTAGTTTGTTGAAAACAAATTTTTCTAATTGGATTCCCCCATTTTTCGTTGATATTTATTTACAATTCGTGTTTATTTTTGTGTCAAAATCCCGCGGGTAGAAGTATTCACAATTATAAATTCAAAAACTCTCCATAAACTTTAATTTTAAGCCTATCTACAACCAAAACTTATTATTTATCAAAATAACTATTTAACAAGTTAGTAATGATGATATCAAATTTTTAATTAAGATCAATGAGTATATTATCTGTTATATTGTACAAAAACTGCCTTCAATACATATTCAAACGTTTTTTTATATTTTGGTAGATTTTTAATCATTATTGAAGAATCAATAAAACTTAATTTTGCGAAATATCAATACTTGATAATAATGTAAAACATCTGTTTGAAGTTTTAACTTTACAATATGATATTAAATAGTACATTTGGCATTTGACGCATAAAGGTTGTGATTGTCGCAAAACCGTGAGTGATATCACCCAAGTTGAGCTAGTGCTTTTTTTGACGTTCAGATTTTATCTTCAAGGGCTTTTTCATACATCAGTGTAGAAATACTAACGTACGAAATCGTTTCTCTTAACATGGTACTATACCCAAGCTTTTTACACATGATATATGGTGGTATCAGAAATTAAAGAGAACACAAGAAATGCCGAAAAAAATTCTGTCAAATCTATATTTAATGAGACATACTGTACTACAAAATCTGTAATACAAAACGTAATGAAGTACTGTAATGCAAAATGTAATACAGTAAACTTCAAAAAGAATTTTTTAGACGTTTTATGTTCGTAGTACACGAGTGTTATTGTACAAAGCGTGTAACTGAAAATTTTATTAAAAATGGAAAAACTTTTTTTATTTGTTATAAATAAATATTAAACTTTTGTTTTGATTTTTACCACTGTATGGACATGCAATTAACATAAAACTATAACTTTAAGTCCATGAAGCTTAATATCTATAAAGCTAAATTGGTTAAAATTATGAGTTATAATTTTGATGGTAGTCACCTTTTATAGATTCATTTTTTTTTACAGTTCTGCGACAAATTAAACAAGTTTTAAGTGACAACTTTTATTTAGTAAAAATCTTTTTATAAGAAACCATGTGGAACCGAGAATCTTTGTGATTTGATTTTTTGATAACCATAAAGCTAGACCTTCTGAAATTTAAATGCGATATTTATAACTGTAAAAATAATACTTTATAATTTTTGGATTAATTTGTCGAAGAAATGAAATATTTCCTCAAATCAATGCATTATGCTTAAAAAAAAATATAAAAATCGAGCTATATTAATAATAGGTTCACCTTCATTGACAAATTACATCAGAGTTTTGTTTCAAATAGCCTGATTTGTAGATTTCATACTAGTTTTATTAATTATTTAATTTAAATCTTGTTTCTTTTGTGCAGATCATAGTGCATTGATCTCACCTAATGAAATGCTTATGAGCCTTTGAATTATTTATCATACAANATTTTTAAAAATAGATTCGCTGAAAAATCTTTCAGTTTTTGTTTATAATTAATAAATAGCCAAAAGATTCAAAATCGAATGAACTTTTATGAAAAATAGTTTATACAAAGACGAAAACAGAGATCAATATTAAAAACCGTTGCATTGTATAGCCTTGGTGGAAAAAGGCAGCATTGGTAGATTTTTAAAGTTGAAAAATTATATCATGATTTTTGCGAATACATTAATTCTATTTATAACATAAAAACTTTGTATCTTGATTTACGATTGAAAAATATAACCACTTTATTGTAGGTGATTAAAGATGTGATGAATGATCTTGATTTTTGTGGAAAGTACTTAGTTTTTCACCTTAAAAAAACACATCCATAACCAGTGAAAATGTTCTATTCTATCCTATCATTTGTTTTAACTTCCACCTATACATAATTACAAGTGAGACTTTGACTTCACACCAATCTCGCTATGCACTCCAACTCGCTCCAACCTCCTATTTACAATGATAAAAAACTCATTTATTGAAGTATGACGTATCAAAATTTACAAATATTATTATGATATGCATTGTCATCATCAAATAATCGTTCTAGCTTCTAAAAATGTTTTTCGAAAATCAATGTCGAATATGGGCAGAGCAAGTGGAACACAGGCATTATAAAAAAATTAACGTTAAATTATATCAATCATCTGGCTAGTTATACAGAAAATGATAATCTTATTGGTGGTTAGAAGGAGATAATTACGGGACTGCAGAGGGCTTATTGCAAGTCCCACAAAAATAATTATATATAATATAGAAAGAAAATTCAATATGTACTTTTATTACCTTTAAATACCAAAAGTATATATCTTTTTTACCTTTTATTTCATGTTAAAAATAATTTCTTTTAGCATTAGCATTTTCTATGGCTGCCAATAAATCCAAACGTCAAATTATCGATAGTAATTTGACTATACTTGAATGAACCTATGTATTATCACGGTTAATCATTCATAAGGTTATTGAGGTTTGAAAATTAAAATGTAATTTTTCTACATTAAAATCAGACTTGCGTAAGGCTACTTGTAACGACTATCACAGTTCTTATCATAATGTAGTATTAAATTTTTGATATCAGTTATACATTAATTATAAAACATAAATCAATGCAACTAAATAAAATTTTACATGAATACATAAATAAAATTAGCAAAAAAATGTAATGCTATTAAGCTTTAAATATATGAAATTAAAGTTAATTAATTTCAATGGAAACTTAACAATTACAATATGCACAAACAACAATAACAAAATAATTATACAGAAACATATCAAATCCTGAAAGAATAAAATTTATGGGGATGGTAGGGGTCTTTGGAGGGGGTTCTCAAAATCGTATAAGGGGCTGTAGAGGATTAACCCTAATTTTATCAGGTTTAAATAACGGGGAAATTAAACAAATTTTCCCTTATTTTTTGGAGAAACTGTGGAGCACCTGCATGAGGCTGAAGGGGACTTATCACCAGTCCTGCCAAAAGAACTATATAATTTAAAAAAATTGAGTACCCATTTAAAATAGATGAAAAGTATAGATGCATGTATACCATCTTTTTCCATACTGTATCGTGATTGCTTTATGTTGGAAATCCAAAAATAAAATACCACTATTCCACCAAAGAATCGATATATTCCCAGAACAGACATTATTGTACACGCACACGCATTCACAGATTTTCTTCTAAATAATGCATTTCATTTTTTTTTTTTTGGTATACACTCAGATAATTTTTACCATATACTTGAACGATTATGATTTCTCGTGTAATATTAGTCAATAATTTTTTGGTGATGTTTTCAGGTGGTGACATATCTAAAAAAATGGTTGAATTTGCTAAGCAAACTCACAGTGACGAGGAACGCCTATCATTTATCGAATTGGACGTAGAGGTAGAAAAAATACCAAAAGATCTAATTTGTGCTTTTGACAACGTTGTTTCTTTCTACTGTCTACACTGGTGTCAAGATACGAGGTACAAAGATATAACTTACAAGCAAATTTGAAGTTGACTTTGACCATTCAATAGAAAATTTTTTACTGTCATAGGAAACTCAATTATGAATTTGTATGAATCTTTACTTATTTTATTAGTTTTTGGAACAGCTATTTCCGTATCACAGTACGCCATTCAGACGAAGGTGTATTCAAACTGAGTAAAAATCTATGTACACTTTCGAAACTAAATGGTTAACAGCTGTTACAAAAACTAATAAATTAAGAGAAAATTCATCGACATTTATATAGACATATTTTTTTTTTTTCGTAATGTATTTTAATCGTCGTCAAGTAAAGAGTTTTTCTATTTTTTAAATTTCGAGAACATTTTTTTAGAACTACAAAATTCTTTAGCTGGATGTGCAATTTTTATGATCACGTATTCTTAAAATCATATTGAGCACTGGCAAAATACTTTGACATGACTAGAGCTAAGCTATTTAATTCGACGTGCACTTTTTATCAACCACTGTTTTGTAATATATGTATACTTTCATCTGTGATGCAAAAAAATATTTGCTTGTTTCAGAAAAGCGTTTGAAAATATTTATCAAATATTACGTCCGGGTGGAAGAGGTCTGGTACTATTTTTAGCTTACAACGACGGCTTCGACAGCTACCTGAGAATAGCTGAGGTTCCTCAATACAAATCGTATATGACGGTAATTGATAAGAATGTCCTCGATAATCATGATAATTTTAATACATTTTTTTTCCTGGGAATAATTTTGAGTCATCAATTTTTCAGGATGTTGAAAAATATGTCCCATACTTTCAACACTGCGACAATCCGAGAGCAAAAATGAAGAAAATGCTCGAGGAAGTAGGTTTCAAGGTGCTGCACTGCAGTTTACGTGAAAAGACGTTCGTGTACAAAAGTTTGGAAATTTTGAAAAGTTAGTATACGCACAAATTAAACAAAAAAAATAGTTTTTAAACATAATAAAAACGATTTATTTTATGTTTTAGAACATGTCGTGGCTGTAAATCCTTTTATAAACAGAATGCCAGAGGACATCGGAGAAAAGTTTGAAAAAGATCTTTTACGTGAAATCGTCAGCGGAAAAATATCGTTTGCCAACAAAAACAATGGATCAAAAGAGGAAGAAAAAGTACTCGATCGATATTATGTACTGATAGCTCATTTTGAGAAACCGGATATAGGAAAATGAGAAAGTAGGAAAATGCAATGACGCTGCATCAGGGACTTATTTCTAAGTACAAAGTATTTTAGTGAGAATGATCTGAATAATTTTTGCCATGAACGTCTGTGAATAATTAGATGTATATTGACGATTTTGAATCTATTTATATATCAATTACAAATATTTAACCGTGATATTATTGTGATTTGATTAATGCTAATGCATTGTGAAATTAACGTCATAAACATAAGCCATATTATTTTCGAATTAANTATATTAATAAAAGCTTACTTCTAATTATTATTATTGGTCTTCCTATCGAGGCTGCCCAAAAACACCAGTCAAAACCACCAGGACTGCGCAACAGCCCTCACTCACCAAAGCAGTCAACCAGGCCAACGACATTCTTAACCAGCGAAAACAAGGATTGAGCTACGCCCAAGCTACCAAGGGAACAGGCAACCAAACGTCCCTCCATGGCTCTGCTTAAATAACGCACTACATGCAGTTATCTAGTCAGCTATCTCTGAATTCGTCGTCAATCTCACGACAGCTAGTCTTTAGATCTCATGGAAAATCCAAACCACCATACTCTAGCATGATCAGAAACAATTTCTTGTTCTTGTCCGGCACACCTCTCAATGCCATTAGCTAGTAAATAACATCCAACTTTTATTATTTGGGTTACAAACAAAGTATTTTAATTCGATTCCGAAATTTATAAGACATTTATATCACATGTCGATGTATGATTTTTCGTCCATTACAAAGCTTCTTTCATAAAAAAGTAAAACCAATTTTTTTAAAACAATAAAATCGAAATTAAATAAGAAATCGATAAAATCGAAATATCATTTTTTAGTTACAATAGATAATCAAAAATGAACAAATAAAGTTCAATATTTAATAAAATTGGTCGAGGGGACTTGAAGAACGACTGATTACTCACACAAGCAGACACATGTGCACAGGTGTTCTCAATAGAGCGAGAGAAAGAGAGTGGCGCAGACAGACAGACATTTTTATCAGAGTATTATATTTCAAATCTAAAATTCAAAAAACTTTTTAATATCAGTTATTTCAATATGAAATTTTTCGTCCATCACAAAGCTTCTTCCTCGAGGAAGCTACAACATTCCTTAGCTAAATATTACTAACAAATCATAGATCTGGTGTGTAAGATTGAGGCTTCAGGAAAATGTAGCCTTGTTAAATTAATATAAGCTTTTACATTATCATAAAATTGAAAGTTAATTAAAAAAAAATAAATACACCTAATTCAAATCAAAATATAAGTATTATGAGACGGTTAATTCCGAGCGATATTCCATGGGGAGTAAATAAGTCCTCCATAGACCCACGATAATAATGATGATATATATGTATGTATGTGAAAAATTTATACAAACGAAAATTTGATGAAAAGATTAAGATACTTATGTAGTGAAGACGTGACTTCCGTGACTTGACAATAAAAAAACAAGGAAAAGTTATAAAAGTAAACGATTTATTCGCTGTGTGCGAAATTATTACATGGGTAATAACCTACGACTGAACAGTGCATAATTTCATGACTTTAGCAGATTCAATGCATTGTAGAAGGCAAATGTTAATTATAAGTTAACAAATTTATTCCAAAAGTAGGTGTAAAAGTCCAAATAATTTCAAAAGTTTTAAGTATTGTAGTCGTCAGTAACATACAATGTTAATTATAATAATGAAGCCGAACTAATCTTACTCGTAAAGTGAAGTAATAACGATACGACAGGAAGTTAATGATATCTCGACTTGCTTAATTTAATGTATTATTACTTGCATAATTGAATGCCAAATTTGATTTGTTTTTACTAAAAAACGTGCAAAGTATATAATATCCCCTTAAAAATAGTTTTTTACAAACCTTAAATGTTAGGTAAGTTTGATGTATTGAGTTCATATTTCGTAAGGAATTTCTGAACCTATATACACACTGGCAGTGAATAGTCTTCTTCCTTATGAATCTGCAGCCTTAACAAGTTCTAAAATCAAGATATAAAAACGGTCAAGTTTTTTTTTCGCGCAGCATACATTTGTATGACATTCGTAGTATAATACTGTTTAGTACTCGTACTTTAACAACATCAAACTAAGTAATATTGATTTTTGACTGGTATTCCATATAAACCTCATATCAAACACATTCATGCCTTGCTATGTAGAAAGTACATAAAAATGTTAGGGCAAAAGGCAATATTACTTAGTTTGATTTTGTTTAAGTACGAGTACTAAACAGTATTATACTACGAATGTCATACAAATTTATGCTGCGTGAAAAAAAAACTTGACCGTTTTTGTATCTTGATTTCAGAACTTTTTAAGGCTTGTGACGTGGTAACTAAAGGTATCACGTCACTGTATACCTATATTTCGGGGCAAGTCATCGGCGGCTACCGAGTCCTAGAATAACATATATATTTTCTATATGTACATCTATCACACATTACTTAATGTGTGTTCTCGGTGCCGCGGACTACGAGCCAGAGAAGAGAGAAGGACCGAAGACTATGAAAGAGATTGAATGTGTGAGCATGTGTGTAAGATAAAGGCACAGGCTACAGATTCATGAGGAAGATTACTATTTATTGCCAGTGTGTATAAAGGTTTAGAAATTCCTTACAAAATTGAACTCAATACATCAAACTTACCTAACATTTAAGGTTTGTAAAAAACTATTTCTAAGGGGATTTACTTTTCAGCCCGTAGGCGCAAAGTGATGACAAGGACTCAGTATGAACCGAAGGCGAAAAGCGACAGTTTTACTTTGCGCCTTAGGTAAGAAAATTATCATATTCCTGTGTATGAAGAAATAACAAGAGTGTTAGTAGTGACGAACACTATTGTTTCTACCGGGGGCACAGCAACCACTCAAAGGTACCTAAAGTTTCATTTATTCAGTTTTATTCAGTTTCATTAACTTTATTATTAATAATGTAATAGCCATCTGAGTATATAATTATCGAATGGTGTAGTCAGTAATATAAGTCAACATTTTTGATGATAACAGGTGCGCAACGTTTCGGTGGCTGTTTGCTACGTTCATCAGGTGTTATCTGATAAATGAATCTAAAATGATGACATAATTATCCCTTGTTTATTTTATCATTATGTTATAATACAAAGTATGTATAAACTATACGGACAGCAACAAGGAAAACTTGTTCTTCGCGTTATATTTTATTGGTTCTAAACTTAAATTTTGCATAATTTACTTACTGGTCAAAAATTTTACAATTCATTTCGTAAAACGCTTTATTAATTCACTTGATATCTCGGATTCTTATATTAAAATGGCTTTCTTTTTTAAGGGATTTAATTAATGCAATAATATTAACTCTATTCATAAGACTCTTAATTGTATTAATTTGTATGAGTCATTCAACAATTTCGATTCAACAGTAAAAAAAGNGTGCATAATTTCATGACTTTAGCAGATTCAATGCTTTGTAGATGGCAAATGTTAATTATAAGTTTACAAATTTATTAAAAAAGTAGGTGTAAAAGCCCAAATAATTTAATAAATTTTAAGTATAGTAATCGTCGGTAACATACAATGTTAATTATGATAATAAAGCCGAATTAATCTTACTCGTAAAGTTAAGTAATAACAATACGACAGGAAGTTAATGATATCTCGACTTGCTTCATTAAATTCATTATCACTTGCATAATTAAATGCCAAATTTAATTTATTTTTAATAAAAAACCTGCAAAGTATATAATATATACTGATATAGCATATAATGCGCTTATTGTGGCCATCTTTACATTTATACGTCTGGTATGACTGGAAATGGTTGAAAAACTCAATAAGGTGCAGTCAACATTGTATCAAGAGTTTTTGAAAGTTCCTAAGGTATGCACATATGTCTTGCCCCATGATGGCTCTTCGATCGCTTTATATCCCCTCCAAGAAATTGCATGCAGTGTATGTAGAAATTACGTAAACCTGGAAAAAATTAGTACTTAAACTGCTGCCCCACATGTTATTCAATTTTTCTCTTGAAATTATATTACAACATTGCAAACTATTTCTGTTCTCTTATCTAAGTTACTCTTTGTTTGTTTTTTTTTTTCTTTTTTTATTTCAAGTTCTAAGATTCCTAGCTCTTAGTGCACCACTCCAATGTACAGTCACATTGAGTGCCTCCTTGCTGGAATGCATTTAGTCTATAGTTATAGTATTGATTCTCTTGAGATGAGAATTCAATACTTCTTATTTAATAGAAAAACGAGCGCGAAACTGTAAAATTGTAAACATATTATACCATTATATATTATGTATATTATGTGGTAAATAAATAAATAAATAAATTCGAAGTGCAAGAACAATTCCTCCTGAGTCATCGCTACATCAATCACATATAAAAAGAAGCCCGTGCAAATCAGATATGAACAGTCGAGAGGTAAGCCTCGCTTTGACAGTAGCTTGTTGAGTGCAAGCTTGACTCAGTATACGTTTGACTACGTTTTGCCCTACAGCTTCGGATCTTGATCGGTTTGATAAAAATCAAACAATGAATGACGTCAAAGGATACATGGAGGCCCACGAACTGGCGGCTCATGAAGATGCCGATCTTATCGAAGAGTTTAGTGACGAACTTGCAAAAATGACCGGAAAGTGCATCGACATCGGCTGCGGCCCTGCCTCAGTTACGCGCAAGCTCCTCATGCCCCGACTGCCACCTAATGTTCACATCGTTGGTAAGTGGCAAGTTTAGTGCGCAACAAGTCGTGAAAAAAACAATTTTTTTTGTCCTAGTGGTTGGAAACTTTCTATTTACAGCTGTGGGGATAGGAAAAATCAGATACAACCCATATCTGGAAAGTAAAAAAGTGTCAGATAGTCCGTTTGTTGTCCAAAGCAAAGCCAACAATATCTGAAAGGTTTAATACCATTCTTACATATTTATTCATACATTGTATGGCTATAAGCATATGAATATGATTAAGTGTTACATTTCAACATAGAAAAATATCTTTTGATAACCAGTTATTACTTATACTTTTCGATGTACCAATGTATTCAGTGTTAAGAGATATTTTTCGTATTATTTTTTTTATTCTATTCCCGGGATTACAAACTTGAAAACAAAGTTGACGATTCACGCGAAGGCCCGAAGATATGTTAAAAAATATACTCCCAAGTAATACATAATATAGTTTGTTTATAAAAATTCGTGTG